TTTAGATATGCAGGTGCAATGATCCTGCAAAGTGAACATGAAAGGAAATAAAACCACAGTCCTCTTTGCTGCAGCTCGTCCTTGCCTGTTCTCATTCATGGAGTGAACCCCTCGCTGCAATGGTGAATGATATTTTTTACTCCTTCATTCATTCAGATTAAAACTGAGTTTTGGCCAAAGCCGAGGCGCTGCCAACGAGCCAGGACAGAGCTGCGTGACGTGGTTGACTGCTCTGGTGGTCCCACAGGGGGGGAGTGGGGGGGGTCACAGGGGCCCCGGCTGGCCCCTGCAAACCAGGATTGTTCACAGAGACAAACATTGGAGCAAAAATCCAACAACTGTCTGAGGCAAACGTACACAAACGTCTGTTTGACTGTGTGTCAGATGCCAGTTTACTTTCTGCAGGACCAGCGGAGCCATTAAAGGGCAACGAGACACTTTGTGGTTATCGAGTTAAACCCCACTCAGCTTTCCCACTCCCAGCAGAGCTCTTTAGAGAAAAGAGGGACTAAAGACCCTCTGGAAGTCTCAGCTACTTTGCTGGTTTTCTTCTGGACGACTCGTTGAGTTTACCTTGGCTGGATCACATGACTCCAGTACCTGACGTCACTACAGGCAGACTTAGGCTGCACCTGTTCAACTCCTCTCTTTATCAAAAACGTGGGAGGAGGGAAACAGTGAGCGAGAGTGAGGCCAAACATGGCGTCGAAAAGAGCAGCTTGATGTTACGTTAACAACAGTAGAAAATAAATGTAATAATAAAGGTTTTTCTTCGTCAAATTCAGAATAATAAAACCACAAAATATCCTAATGTCATTATATTGAAACGAACAAGTCTCTTCTCGTAGGTGCTTTTTGTGAAAATTTAATTTATTTAAATTAATGATTATTATTTAGTTGTTTCTTGGCCCATGTCTTATCCTTCTAACACGAACAAACAACAGGGGTGAAAACATAACCTCCGTGACGTTGGTAATAAATACATGCAGCGTCGTGTTTGATTTGTTTTATGTTCCCATGTTTCTGTCAGTGCAGACGAACTCTTTGGCTCGAGTGCTCACTCAGACCTCTCCACAAAATGTCTATAATTTCCCCACAGCTTTATGAGTGAAAGCAGCTCCCTTGATTAATCATCAGCAACTAATTAATCATCGTAATCTTGACGGTTATCGACACTGTTTTCTTACTACACATCACTGAGCTGCTTATTAACACACAACAATGCCTCCGGATCATTTCTGTACAGGAGACATTTTTAGGTCACCGGCTCGTTGCAGGAATCTGTTTAGGAAATGCAAATGAAAACTGGTCGTTTCCTCATCTGTGTTGCTGTTTTAGATATTTCACACATATTATGTAAATTACTTTTTTACATTCTCACACACAATCCCACTCATTTTATTCACACATTTGCCGAAATGTCCACCTCCGCATATCCAGCCTTGACCTATTAGACCAACAATGTTCCTGTATCACAATTACTCTCAGCCATTGTCCCATTGTTCTGGTCACACCGCGCTGCCTGAAAACAACTCTTCTGATCACCTCGCATCCTTCCCTCCGGGGAGGAGTGAATCTCACAACATTCCGAGGGCGTTTTTGTCAAACTGCCTTTTCTCGCACTCTGATTAATCTTCATTTGAATTTCAGAGGAGGGATAACGTCGGCGTTTCATGGAGCTGGTGGGGGATCGGAGGGGATTTGGAAGATAGTTCAACCTGATGTGACAGAGCAACAGCAGCCGCTTCCTGCAGAGATGATGTGAACACTTTGATAAAGAGTGGAGTTTTAAAACTTTGGTTTATGCTAATTATTTGTAGACATTAGTATAAATTCACAGTCAGACACATGATGCTTTTTCACTTTTTCTTTTCTTTTGAGTGTCATGCAGGATTTGTCTTAAAGTAAAAGTTATAATGATGAAACTGAATATGAGAATAATGTGACAAATGATTGTCTATAAAACTGATCCATTATTATTAAATATGTTGAATTCAGTTGCAGGATGTGGCCAGGAAAGAAATTGAGAAGAATTACAAGTGTCCAGCCAAATGATCATTGTGGCCTGTGGCCATGTTGGCCTGCTGGCCCCTGTTCCTGTTTGTCCTTGTGCAGGAGTCAGCTATTTAAAGTTCCAGCTGCTGCCTCCTCCTCCGTCCAGTAGACAAAACACTCAACTCTGTTTAGAGCTCAAGGTCACTGACCACTTACCTTCAGCCAGTTCTTTCAAAAAAATGAAATCAAATAAAATGAATAAATAAAAGAAGGTTCACCTTGAGATACTTCTACAAGGAGGTGGACAACAAAAAAGGTTTATTTGCTCGCAAAGGGCAATCTTTTATATTTCTCATTTTTCAGAGAAAGTCTTCTCGGTGGTCTTGCCAAAGCAGAGCAGACAGTGAGTCTTATAAACTACAGACTCATAAAATTTCACATTCAGCTCTTTAGTTAGACTTTGAATCTTCGGTCCAACGTTGTCGTCTCCTGGTTACTGAAATTTAGTTTTTGAAACTTTTCCACCCAGTGAGTGATAATGTTGGAAATTGCATGGAAAATAATAATACAAATAAATAATTGAATATATCAGCATAAATATTTAGGACATGTGTCTATGACTGGCAATGGGGGCATAGACTATATATAAAAAAGAAGTCTATGAGTAAATAATTACTTTGCACTTGATTTATAATGTCACCAAATATTTTCGTGCAGCGTTTATGGTCTCAAGCTTGAGTTTCAAGTCTTCTTCGATACAGCTCGATGTTTATTTTCTAAATTCTTGTCCCATTTCGAGTAAAATAAGCGATAGAGCACTGCATGCGCTGGAGTATGCCAAACTCCAGGCTTCAATATGGCCCCGATGGGTGACGTCATGGTGGGTTGCCACTACAACAAAGGAAACTATGAATATGCAATGGAGTAAGTGGGGTTTGAGAGTTTTCCTGTTCTTCCCACTTTGCCGACTTTGTGGAAAATGCAAAACAGCTCAGACAAAATCTTAAACAATTCATAGGTCTGGAAGCAGCTGAGTCACTGTGGCCGATCTGTAATTGCCTTCAGCACACTTACCACTCGAGTAATATCTTCTATTGCCTGAGCTTAGTTTGATTTGTTAAATCTGTTCCACCTCAGTTATTTCTTTAGCATGGGAATGCTTCGCAGTGCCAGCTCACTCGAATTGAAACTGACAAAATTGTATTTCTCATTTCAGAAAGGAATATAACTGAATAGTTGTGAAGATACAAGTTTATACAAATATATATATTTTAAAACCCTCACTTGTCAGTTTTGTATTAAACCTGGAGGGAGAAGAAAATCTGTTCTCCAATATGTTGAAATATAAAAAAAGACTTCATTTCAAAATACGGGCAAACTAATTTGGATTGAGAAGGAGGCAGCGGTGTCAGAGTAAATCCTTTGTGATACCTTGTTGGTACAGTACGTCTCTCCCACTTTATTACAATGGAAACAGCTTCACTGGGGAACTGTAGTGAGTGTGAGGCAGCCACTTGACCGCCGACTGTCGTGCAATCACTCTGAGACTGTGGAGCTAAGTGATGCATCTAGTACCTTGACACTTGATTTCTCAGCAGCCTGCATTTCCAATGCTAATCTCCCGATCTGACAGCTGTGGTGAAGGAGCCAGGAATCTGTTTTTGTTTTCAAAGTATTATTGTGATTCTGTTTTAAACCTTTCTTGTCTTAGCGATCTTAGTTTTCTCATACGATAGTTTTGGTTCTAGGTTTCCCTGTTGCTCACTGCTAGAGTCCAGACTCGACCCCATTAACTAGTGGCAGCGCTGTATCCGGAATGTTTTTGTCTCATTAATTTGGCTTCAGGAAGAAGTGGTGACACGTCGTTTATCTTCAGATACAATCTACAGCCTCACAGCTGCTGGCATGGCCACTGTCCTGGTTTTTATTGATACTCTGACACTTTGCCTCAGCCACTTTTTGCCCTTCACAGTCAGTCTCCTCTTTACCTGAACACACATCAGAAATCCACCACGAGTCCCTGAAACACCTTCATGCTCCCACATTCATTCTGTGTTGTTTCCCAGGTACAGCGTCCAACAATCAACAAGCAGCTGCTGAAGTTAGCGGCCGACTGTGCACGTGTTGTCGAGCCTAATTAGCTGTGACAAAGGAGCACTTATTCCAACGTGTACTTTAATGTTTCAATAATGATGTATGCCGTTTCGTGACTGAAATGGCATGAGAGCTTTATAGAGTGAATTGATTGGTTTCTGAGGCGTAAAAGCTTGTGCTTGAATACTGTTAGGGATGGCTAATTACAGAGGACTAATGTGTTTTTGTTTTTCCTTTGTCCTGAAGCTTTTCTCTGCTGGATTCACAACTACCAAGTGAAACCCACATGGAGTTCGAGGTCACGTCCCGCTCCCGCTTGGCTGGCGGTGGAGATCAATGGGCGGCAGCTGATAAAGTTACGTCAGATTAGCCTGTAAGAAGGAAATTCAAKAATAGAGACCGAAGGAATCAAAGAACAGTCGGTCCATAGGCACATGCAGAAACACATGATCGCTGGACATGCCCTCACATCATATAACAAACACGTGTATAAGCACCGCGTGTTATGTACCTGTTGCTATGGAGCATCACTTACACCTTATAGGAGTTGAGACATTCTCTTAGTGGTTGTGCTCTTTTCACTGCAGCTGCCGTGGCAACCATATTATCTCATCCACTCTAACTGTGATTTTTTTCTTTCTTTTGTTGCAGTTAGGATGATGGCAAGTCAAGAAAAAAACACTCAGGTACGTCATGAAGATGTTTATTTGTAGATAAAGATGGAGATAAAGATTTCTTCATGTTTGTAAGTTTTTTTTAAATTTGTGATTTGATGCTATAAAACAGGGTGAAACGTGATGATTGACAGCTGAGACTGATTTGTGATTAGTAGGGCACATGTGTGGGTGGGACCTCGTTATCATGGCTTCATCCCCCAATCACCACTGCACAGACTCCCAATCTGAGAGATGGCAGCGTTTGTATCCAGGATACTTTGTTGATAGTGGGAGGAAGTGGAGAAGCGTCGTCCATCTTTATCTTCAACTTTTCTTGGCAAAGGTGAAAGCTGTGCTCGTGGATTTCTAAATGTTGATCATTACTGTTGCTCTCAGAGGCTTAGTTATACATGGCCTTTAATATTAGTGATATTGGGTATTCAAGGTAGGTAGTAGTTTATATTGATTTAAATGCCAACAATTAGCATAAGTGAGATTCATCAATACCTTAAACTATGGATTTACAGTAATGGTCAGATTTCAGATACCATTAATGTCTTAATTCATCTGTTACTGTCTAGTTCTTGACGGTCTTGAGTTGGGCTGATGTGTAATGAATTCTGGGTAAAGAATTTTTTGGGTATGGCCAAGCAGCTGCGTCACACTGCTCAGCTCGGTTCACACCAGCAGGAGATGTTTGAATTCTGGAAGAACTGAACAGTTACAGGTTTATTCAACAGCAAAAACAAAAAGGAGTCAAAATAGAAGAAGTTCCAGCAGAAATAAATGAAAGTTGCTGCAGAGCTGAGGTGTCACAACTTGTTTTACCTCCTCATCACATCTCCTTGGACAATTTAAAACAGAAGATGAATAAGTCTATTTCCAACAGGTTACTGCCGCCTCCTCCTCTAATGACATACCTGACAACATCGGTAGACTTCACTGCAGAGTCAGCCTGAGTGTGAGATGGTCAAAATAATTCATCCTTGATTTAGAAACACTGCCTCGCTTGTGTTGTCTGATTAAAAATGGAAGCTAGTGCTACATTATCTTTGTTGAAGCAGAGCTGGAAGACACATGCATGTTTGAAATGAATGACATCATACCCTCAGACATCTTGTTCCCAGATGTTCCTTAATTCATCATTGATGTTCCTTTTCCTGCAGAAAACATCCAGATCTCTAACTGTACTGTAACTACTGATCGTTATGAACATATTATCTTTTTAAATGGTTTCTTAATTTTATACCTTTCATGCTGCTAAATGAAGTCAAACCTCCAAGTAATAATATTTTACTAAGAAAGAAAATGTAGTACATTTGAACCGAAATACAAGAAAAGCAAATATTCCATTTCTTAATTTCAGATTGCAAACATTTATCTTTTCTGGGGTTATTATGATGATTTTTTAATGTAGGCAGAAGCTACTTAGTTCAGTGTGGCTTTTTTATTCTCGTATTAGATTTAATCCTCCAGTTTTTTTTAACATACACATTAAAAACAGTATTAACATTATAGCAAATGTTCATATTTAATTTAACTGCAGACAGCCACCAGGGGGGTGATGGTGATGCTTTGGCTTCACTTTGAGGGAGTTGTCTTGTCATCCATCTTTATATACAGATCCTGAGCATAAGAATATTAAACATGACACAAAAAATAACACATTACACAAACAGTGAAAGATATAAGATTATTTATGACAAGAATTCAATCATAAACCTGTCATCTGTATAAACCCATGTTCATCTCCTTTAATCTATACTTTATTATTAAATGCATAGTGCACTAATGAAATCCTTTTCTTTTCTCCTTTCTGTGTCAGGAGACGTCTGACGGTGTGGGTGTCTGGCTCTGATGAGACCTGCTGGTTAATCCACAGTTTTCCTCCACGTCAGGCTTCAGCAGGAGGGAGAGGGTAAGTACAGGGTCGGGACGGACAAATGCAAAACAGGATGAAGCACAACTCCCCCAAGCTTGAAAACAAAAGACGGACGCGGCGTGAGACCAGACTTTAAATTTACCAATCGAGGAATTCATCTCACAGGCCACATCAGTGTCAGAGTATCAGGCAGGAGAGGTGCGCTCGCAGGTTTTTGGCTGGACGGCGAAATACAATTTTGCACGTCTACTGAAATAAAAAGTGAAAGACGTCCATTGATTTATGTGGGAGGATGGATTCCAGGCTCTGGCTCAGAATACAAAGAGAGATGGGGGCAGTTATAGAAAGTCTGCTAGGTCATTCCTGGTCAGCACTTGGCTGCCGTAGCTTGCTGTACATGAAATTCTATTTTTTGTGTTTTACTTGTATCATAAGATTGCTGCTCTTTGACTCCATGGTAGCTTTTTGTAAAGTCACACTTCTTTTCAGTGTGTTTTTATTCTGTCATCAGCAGGTAAAGACATTTTAAAGTTTCAGACGAGTCTTCGCTACTGCTGCCACTCAGGAACATACACTTTTACTTTGGCAACATATACTTTTACTTTGGAAACATATACTTTTACTCTGGCTTTTGCTTTTTTACCTAGTCGTCATGGCTCTGTGTGTCCATGGCAACCACTGTTACTAAAGCAAGGGAAAGGATGTAGGAGTGGATTTTACATGAATGAGTTCCCTGAAACATATGAAGAGAAAAAATTGTGAAGCAACGTTAGCTGCAGAGTTTCTGTCTGGGACAATAATCATAGCTTATGATGATAGTTGGCAAAACTTGCTAATAGAAAATAATATTAAACTGTTTCCTCACACATGCAGTGCATCTCTGTGCAGCACTTTCTCTTTGGGGTTCAGTATCTTGCCCAAGGACACTTCAGCATGCGGACTAGGGAAGACTGAGATCAAACCGTCGACCTTCTGGTTAGAGGATGACCGCTCTAACCCCTGAGCCACAGCCGCCCCACAGTGGCGGTGGTGGTGAAGAGCGTCAGTGAAGTGAGTGTTCCTGTGCTCCATGTCAGCAGCCCTGCTTGTCTTTTTAATGAATCACTGATCAAGATTCAACATTAAATGCTAATTATTTATGTTTTCAAGTCCAAGTCACATCAGTTTTTTACAGTGCAGGATTGAACTTGGCAGAGAGGAAAACCCCGCGGCATATGGCGGAGGTAGGGGTGGGGGGGCGTGATTGGCTCACCGTCAACGTACAGCTCATGGAGATAAAAAGATCTTTCACGTCACAGAAGGAAAAGAAATCTACTGACAGAATTCTGCTCAGCTGCATCAGATTCAGGCCCCTGGTATCATGCATGACTCCATGTTAGACAATCATGGCTTCCTGTGACTCAGTAGAACAGAGCCACTGCTCTTGTTTCAGTGAAACTTGTGCTTCACAATGACAAGTTGAAATGTCTGCGTCAAAATGTTTTTAGTGGTGAATGAATCAAAGAACCACAGACAGTCAAGTTTAACTTTAATGATTATATTTGCAACGCACCTTTAATCCATCAATCTTTATTATTAAAAACAATTAGAGTTTTGTCAAGCTGCCTGTTATGAGTCACGACCCCAGATTAAGATGAAGATCTAGTGAAACATGAGACATTTCTTTAGTTAAGAAATCACAAATAAAGAGTTTTATTCCAAAATGAACTTGACATTGGTGCATTAATTAAAACTAAAATAATTTATATGTCTAGTGCTCAGAGGAAAGTTGTGTTCCTTTATTTGAAAATGGAATGAGGTAAAGTTAAAAATGATAAGTAGTGATGTTTTGGTGTCACAGGGACAAAAAAACCCCAAAGAGCATCTCTATGAATAGATTCTACATGTGAATATTGAACATCTGTAGGGGAGGGACAAGGTTTTGTAGTGGGAGGACTTGTGGTTTCTGGTTTGACTTTAGCTGTTGCTGTTTCATGACAACATTTTACTTGCGTCTACTTTTTTCGGCGCTATGATAAACAGCTCTGTATTATTTCAGCCCTATGCTCTGGAGTCCTTCCAAAATAAATCCCCCTCCACTTTACATCTGATTGAGGCAATCATCACAGCGTATTGTCAAAATCTTTTTGTTTGCTATTTCCTCTGATGACATGACAGGATTTCTTCTCGAGAATGTAACCTGCAGTTACCATGGAGCATCTCCACCTCCAGCACAAATCTAGTTTTACCGAAATAGTCTATCATCCCAACATGTAACCCCCCCCCCGGTTCCTAAAATAAATGTGATGCTGTGAGAAAGTTTGCTTGTGATGAAATGAACAAGGAAACTTTGGTCATATGAATCAGTACAAATGAGGACATATGGTTGAACACACAAACACGACTTGTTAGCAGGACTCAGTCTGTTCTAGAGAGAGTACATCCAACTACAGATACAGTATTTATCAAGTCATGTGCGGGTACTCCTCTGTTCTTGGTGGGGGGTCCCATCAATGCTGTCGGTGGATTCGCGTCACGAGTTAACGTTTCAGTGCGCTGGTGTAAATTGTGGATGGCGGGAGGGAGAAGAAGTCGGGATCAGGGGAGGAGATCGTGGGAGGAAGCTGGGCAGATTTCAAGCCTCCTGCCGAGACGCTGCCTGTTTGGTTTCAGACTGAGGAGGAGAGAGGGACGGATGAAGTGAGAGTGGGAACAGTAAGACGTAGGGAGGAGGTAGGAAGGAGGTGAGGGGAGGACGGATCAGAAAAGAAGATAATGCGAGGACTCGGAGGAGGAGGTGTTGGAGAGCGAGAGAGCGAAGGATAACAAACGAGATTTCACAGTTTGTTCTCTGTGAACCTGTGAACAGATCACACTGGAAAATGTAACATTAAAGACCAACACACAAACATACATGTGCTCATGTACATGCAGGCCTTCACACGCAATAGAATGTGACTGTGTGTGTGTGTGTGTGTGTGTGTGTGTGTGTGTGTGTGTGTGTGTGTGTGTGTTGCTAATCATTGGCATCTTGCAATGTTAAGCAAAGTGTTTGAAAGTTCCGTTGCCTGGATCCTTGCAAATTGTGTTTGCATTTAACGCACACAATCAAAGTTATGTGTTGAGACAAGTCAGTTCAGTAAAGTGACAAACATTAGGAGTAATGAACTTGTCACGGTGGTTGAGTGGTTTGTGGCCTCGATCCTGAACTACATTGTGCCTGGTTCAGATCAGACTGAAGATTTTTTTAAGAGACGACGTTAGAGCTGCGTTTTTACCATGTGACACTTAGACTTGTTGGTACTTAATGTAACCAACCAAACATACTGAGTAACCTTTACTCAAGTTATTGACCAAAGCACTGCTGGGTTGTTTAATTCCTAAATGAACTGATTCCAGATCTTCCAGAGGTCAAACCATGAGTGTTTGTTGGATCATACTCTTCGTCCAGTGATCCTGTGTTGGAGACATGTTGATATGGTGCTCACGCACCACCACAAAAAAAACATGAGCTCGGCATACTTCACTTCACACAGCATAGCAGAGAACATGCTGAGCTTGAATTAAATCAAGCAGATGAAACAGCCAACCGCCTGTTTGACTGATCATGAAAGGGTGTTTGCTGATTCAGGCAAGATTTCTATCCGAGGAAACGGTAATGGACGTTTGCTTTCACATGGTGTTGATGTTATTGGAAGAACTGGAAAATTGAGACTTGGATTATGTAGTTATATGTAGTCAGATAGAAATTACCAATTTACACAGATTAATAATGAATAAATTCCGAGTATACATCCTCCTTATGCAATATGTCAGAATATGATGCTTTAGAAAACTGTTTACTGGACATTTTGAAAGTTTGTTACCTTCACTGTTTGTTTGTTTGTCGTGTCGGATGCAGTGTGGGTCAGGAAGCAGATCTGGATCCTGCAGCTGATCTAAGGTCTTGTTTTTTTTTCTTTCGTTAATATTGTGAGATCTTGCAACTTTTTTGTTGATTTCTCAGAGAATACTTTCTGTATATTATCTCACCCAATGTACAATTACCCTGTGACTCTCAAAAATAGAGCTGATATAAGATTACGTTTTGTTCCTCAGGTTAGTGCCGAGTATTTGACATTTGTCTGAAATGTAGTGATAATTAGAACACGACCAAAAACAAGTTTCTGTCAGGTCACAGTGACCTTTGACCCCCATCATTGCTTCATCTCTGAGTCCAAATAGAAAGTAAAATTTCAAGAAATTATCTCGTAGCGCTCCTGAATATCGCCCTCAGCCCCCACAACGGTCAAGGTCACAGTTACCTTTAAGTTCTCCTATTTTCTCGAGAGACCTCATCGAAAGAAAGAAGAAAAAAAATCACGTACTCTCATAGAAAATAATAACTGTCTCACTTTGGCAGAAAAGTGTTGGTGTATGTCAGAGTCTGTTGCTCATAATGATTGAGGAAATAAGCTGCTGGAGCATTTAAAGGTAACTGAAGCTGAAACAATCAATTTAAGTACCTACAAGGGTTTTCGTGTTATTGTCCTGCTGCAGAATATAAGGTTAAGAAGTGTGACATTTACTTTAGTTTGAGATATTTTCATTAAAGCATTCCCTCACTCACTTGACCTTTCTCCAGAGGCCGGCGCTAATTGTGTGAGTGTTTCTCTGGCCGAGTTTCAGAGCGACCCCCCCCCCCCCCCCCCCCCCCCCCCATCTCCGAGAAGGGGCTTAGGAGTCGAACATAACAGTAGCTTGACCCTCCGAGCCGCTCTTGCCTCTCGTGGTTTTCCGGCCCCATTGCCGAGTCCCTGTCTCACCTCTGAAATTGAAATTAGGCATTAAACTCTGTTCTAGCCTTGAGCCCCCCCGCTTTCTAAAATAAACCTGCTCTTCATGCTCCCGTTTGCTTTTCTTTCTGTTGCATTTGTGCTGCCGGCCGCCGGGACTCATGCTGCGCTCATGGCTGTGGTTTAATGTGTCCATTTGCACAGTTTACTGTGTGAGGCAAATTGGCAAAGAAAAAGAAACATATGGACAGGGAGAGAAAAAGGAATATAAAGGCAGCTCAA